GAACCGGCCCACACGCCCAGCCCACTGCTGCCACCACTAGCTTAGAGAAAGCCACGTGAAAGCCCGAGAAGGGCCCTCCAGGACCCCCCAACCCCAGTGCCATGTAAGCTGCTCTGGGGCCTAAAACCAGGGACTCCAGCCCACTGCTGCCTCCACAGGGCCCAGAGAGCAGCTCAGCTGGCACCTAAGACCCCAGCACAGCTTCACCACAGCCTCACCTGCAGACCCCACGCTAAGCCACCGAAGAGATCACAGACATCGCTGACCCGTGAGCTGCTGGAGAAATCACCTGAACATCACACCACCGCACGCACCAAAGTCGAAGCCAAAGTTTCCTGTTGAATCAACGGCGTATATACTCCTTCAGGAAAAAATTCTCTCCTCTGAAAGTAATTTCAAAACATTGGAAGACGTGATTGCTACACCAGGTGCACAAATATCAACAGAAGGACACAGGAAACGTGAAAATGCACAAAGAAATAGGACACCACAAAGGACAACAGCAATTGTCCGGCAACAGGTGCCAAACAAAACGAACTCCCCAAAATGCCACATGAAGCATTCAACATATGGCTTATTAAGAAGCTCGGTAGATGCAAGAGAAATCCTAAATCTATTACAAAGACATTGAAAAAATGAATTCAGGATATGAATGAGAAATTTACAAAGGAAATAGGTATCACCTTAAAAAAAAAACATCTAACAACAATAAGAAAGAAAGAATAAAAAAGAGTGAACAAAGGCTTTGAAACTTCTTGGTCTACATAAATTAAGTATTAATATTCCTGAGGGGGAAGAGCGATTAAAAAGTTTAGAAAAGCTATTTAAGGAAATAATCAATGAAAACTTCCCAAACATAGCAAGAGATTTAGATATCTCAAAACAAAGGGCCCCGTAATTCCCAGGGAAATTACTAGGGACATCACCATGGCATATTAGATTCAGGACATCTAAAGTGAAAGTGAAAAGGGGAATTCTTAAATTAGCAAGACGAAAGGTTATAAAGGGAAACTCATCAGACTAACAGACACTTCAACTCAGAAAGCTCACAGGCCCCAAGAGAATGGATGCCATTTTCAAAGTGCAGAAAAAAAACAAAACAAAACGGTAAGCCAAGGATTGTACATCCTGCCTGAATGAGCTTCACAAATGAGGGAGAAATAAAGTCTTTCCCAGACAAGCAAACACTGAGGGAACTGGTCACCCCTAGCGTGGCCCTGCAGGAAATGCTCAAAGAGATCCTACCCATGGGAATGACAGGTCCACATTCACCATCAAGAAAACACAGGAAAACGCAAAACTCACGGGTCTTATAAAACAATGTGAACCAAAATAAAATTTTAAGGCTCACCTCCCCACACCAGCTGACTAAATGGACCCCCTCATGGACAAAGGAATATCCTAAAACGAATCTTCCTGCCTGGAGAAAGGTGTCACACATGCTTTTTCATGCCACCCTCCCTTCTTGGAGACTTCCTTTGTAACCCATTAACAGGCCTAAGGGTATGCAAGACAAACCTGCAAGTCCTCAATTTACACAACAAATCTATGTCCCCTGGCTTATGCCTACCAAGAGCTCCTTATGTTCAAACATTCTGAGCCTTTAGAGTCTAAAGTTTAGACAAAGCTTCATGTCTTTAACCAATTACAAGCCAAAGAATCTTTAAACCCATCTATAACCTGTAAGCCTTCCCTCCCCCCCTTCAAGATGATCCTCCTTTTTGGGCCAAACCAATGCATGCCTCCCGCGTATTGATTTATGACTTTACCCGTAACCCCTGTCTCCCTGAAATGTATAAAACCAAACTGTAACCCAGCCACATAGAGTAGACTTGCTCAAGGCTTCTTGGGAGTGGCTCTGTGTCATGGTCCTCAAATTGGGCTCAAAGTAAATCTCTTTAAAATTATTTTGCAGAGTTTGACTTTTTCTTCCGTTGACAACAATCACCTTGAAGAGGAAGAAAAAGACTCAAATGGCAACATGACAGAATTTCACCAAACCACAAAGACAAAAAGACAGAGAAAAAGAAAGAAAGGATTGATACAACTAGAAACAATTAGCAATATGACAGGAATAAAGACTCACATGTCAATGCTAACCTTGCAACCTTGTCAATGCTAACCCATGTAAATGGGTTAAAAGTATATAAGTTTAAAAGTATAGACTGGTAGAATGGATCAAAAAAATCCTCCTAGTACATGCAGTTCACGAGAAACTCCCCTTACCTGTAGAAACACAGCCTGAAAGTAAAGGGATGGAGAAAGACATTCCACGCACACAGGAACCAAAAAGCAGTAGCTATACTTATGTCAGATAAAAACAGACTTTACATAAAAAACAGTAAAAAAAAAAAAAGAAAAGAAAAAAGAAACAGAAGAAAGAAAGAAAGAAAAACGAAGAAGGGCTTTATGTCATGATAAAGGCATGAGTTCAGCAGGAGGGTATAACAACCCTAAATACAAATACACCCAACCTAGGAGGACTCAGATTCACACGACAGAAATTGCCAGCTGGAAAGAAAAAGGCAGACAAGACACTACTAGGTGGGGAGGAGGGGCTGGGGGGTTGGATGACGGACAGTTGCTAGGCGGGAACGACGTGCACTGCTCGGGACGGGTGCACTGCTGCCCCCGACCTCACGGCAGTGCAACATGTCCATGCCGCCACATTGCACTTGACCCCAGGAATACATGCTAAAAAAAATTTTTTTTAAATGTTTAAATGACAAAGATAAAGCATCGATGTTTCCATGTTTTTGTGCAAGAAATCATTAGCCTTTCCAATTAGAGAAAATACCTAATTTTTAAAGATTATAGTCATCTCAGTTTCAATTAAACTATATTTAGTATTTAAGCACTATATTAAAACTGTGAGAAGGAAAGTGAAAGGGAACTCTAAACTTGTGTATAAAACCTGTGTCCCCAGGAAGCAGCAGAGCACCAGCCCCTGCCTTGCTGTCCAGATGGCTTCGGTGAGTCCCCGGGAACTTCCCTGCTGAGTCTATGGAGGGTGGGCAGCTCCCCCCTTGCCAAGGCCTCATTCTGGCTTCCTGACCTTGGGCACACTGAACTCCAGAGCTTATCTTTATTTATTTAGTTTTTTGGTTTTTGAGACAGAGTCTGACTCTGTTGCCCAGGCTAGAGTGCCCTGGAGTCAGCCTAGCTCACAGCAACCTCAAATTCCTGGGGTCTAGCGATCCTCCTGCCACAGCCTCCAGAGTAGCTAAGACTACGGGCATGCACAACCATGCCCGGCTAATTTTTTCAACATATTTTTAGTTGTCCAACTAATTTCTTTCTATTTTTAGTAGAGATGGGGACTGGCTCTTGCACAGGCTGGTTTTGAACTCCTGACCTTGAGCCCTCCACCCCCCCCCAGCGGCCTCGCAGAGTGTTAGGATTACAGGCGTGAGACACCATGGTGGGCCTATATTATGTCTTTTAAAATCCACCTGTCCTGCTGGTGTCTGGGCGAGTGTGGCACAGTGGGGGGACGCCAGGGCCCCCTTGGGAGGCAGACTCACGGGATCCGAACTCTGAAACCCGCCCCGCCGGGCTGGCACCGGCGCAGATGTGCAGAGTGGCCGGAGCTGGCTGAGCTCCCTGGTGTGCAGCTCACTCAGGCTCTTGCTAGAAACGAAGCAATTCCGGGAAGGTCCTGCAAGTGCCAAAGGGGGGGGTCCACTCCCAGCACCCCCTGACTCTGGGAGGGGCCTCATCCCTGCCACAGCAGTCAGGGCTCTGTTAACCTGAGACCATGTCCTTATTCAGGCAGGGGCTGAGGCTCACATTGCATTAGCCACAGCTGCTGGCAACACTGCCTTGACCTTGCTAGTAGACATCTGGCATTAGAATGAAAAGTCCTGGTTATCCCCAGACAGAGACCATCTCTGCCCTGCGGGCGCCGGCGGCTGTGCGGGCCTGTGGCAGGACAGAGGAGGAGCTGGGCAGGCGGCTGTTGCCACCCAGCCAGGTCCCTTGCCCACTGCCCAAGGGGAGGCCATTGCTGAGCCAGCAGCACAAAGAGTTAAATCCCAGATAGCTCTAAGCAGGGAGGGACGTCTGGAATCCACCTCCCTGAGAATCTGGAAGACAGGGTGTTAGAGTAGTTTGGCTGGCAGGCAAAGGATTAGGCCACTAGGATTGCTAATGGGCTGGGTTTGGGCTGAACCATCAGTCATTGGTTTGGGGCCCGCCTGGGAGGGTGGCCAATCCACTGGAATGCAGGCCCTGGAGGTACCTGCAACACTAGCTTTAGGTTCCTTACCTATGGAGCAGGCTGCCAGTCTCTATGACCACCAGGTCTGGGGCTTCAGAGTGGCAATTATGGAGAAGCAAACAAGGGGACAGCGGCCAATCATTAAGATTATTTTTAGCCAGCCCTTGGCCTAGTTCTCACTTGCACCCCTTTATTTATGAAGGGCACTTTCACTTGCTGGCGGGGCTGAGAGCCCATCCCTCTTCCTTGTCTGTTTCCTCTGCCCCTTCCCAGCCAGGCCCTGCTGGACCCTGGATGCCGGGAGGGAGGGAGCGCACAGCACCCTGCCCGTGTGGAGCGCACAGCCCGGGCCCAGGGAACTGCAGCACAGCCTGGTCCTGCAGGGAGGGGTGTCCTGGGGATCTGGGGCTCAGGGAGGGGCCGCTGAGCCAAGCTGGGGCCGTCCTGGCAGCCCCTCAGGTGTGGGGTGTCTGGGATGAGGGGAGGAGTGGGTGTGGGGGGCTGGGGACAGAGAGACCCTGGGCGAGAGGGCAGCAGAGGCCAGGGCCAGCGCTGCGGTGGGTGCCCCAGTGGCTCAGTCGGCCTTGGGGGCAGAGCCCACGGAAGGCGAGGAGGGGGAGGGAAGCCGGTCAGGAAGGGCCTGCCGCTGCCCGCAGGTGTGTCCTGCACCCCGAGTCCAGAGGAAGGTCCCGGCCAGAGGTGCCGGGGAGGCCTCCGTGGGTCCTGGGCTGCGTGTGGAGTGGCAGGGATGGGAGGCAGGGCCGGCCAGGGGCCGTGGGGCTCACGCAGGCAGGGACGGGGCTGCCCGGCCAAGTCAGTGCTGGGAGATGGACCAGGAAGCCACCAGGAGAAACTTCTGGACTGGCGTTGGTGGGAAGAGGGCAAAGGTGGGCTGAGCCCTGGTCTCTGCTGGGATGAGGGTGGGGGAAGCTTGTCACCCACGGAGGACAGGCACAAAGACGAGAAAACTGGGAAACGCTCCAACCCTCAGATCGCTGCCTGTGGGGGAGGAAGAGGGAGGGGAACAGGGCCAGTCGAGGCGCAGGGAGGAGTGGGCAGAGGAGTCCACCTCGGTCTCCCGCGGCCGAGTGTTCTCGGGCAAGTCCCTCCACCTCTGCTGACCTAGTGTCCCCACGGGGGCGATGGCCGCGCTGCCCACGCCTAGGGCTGCGTCATCGCAGGGCGAGCGAGGGCCAGCAGAGGCACCCTGTGAGTGCAGCTGCCCCTCGGGGCTGGGGGCCAGGGGCTCCACCAGTCCCACCCTGAGGCTCAGGCCCCATCAGGGTGCTGTCACCCGCATCTTGCAGGTCGTCATCTGCAAGGCACGGGTGTCCAAGGCTGGATGGCGCAGGGTGTGAGGAGGAGGTCCCTCTTGGGGACGGGCAGCCGGCAGGGGGCGACATGAGGCGCTGAGGGCAGCCTGCCAAGGGCAGAGGGCCCCAGACTGGCCTTCCAGGCGCTGCTCTCACCTCCGTGAAGGCGCGTGTACGTGCAGGGCTGGCGTCGGCCTGCTCCGGAGCACGTGCAGCCCGCGCTTGTGCGTGCACCCCTGCACCCTCAGCCTGCACGCACACCCACGCACGCACACCCCACACTCGCCCGGACGAACCCCCTCCCTCCCATGCACCAGGTCCCTGTCCAGGCTCCCAGCTCCCCGTGCCCCTCTGAGGGAGCCTCTAAAAGTGGCAGCAGGGCTGGGGTCTCACGAGGACAGAAGCTCTCTCCCCCCAGGGTCTCACCAGGTGACGACCATCAGTAAGGGGTCCCAGGCCAGGCTGCAGCCCCCCAGCCAAGGGCTCTGCTGGTGCCTAGAAGGCCAGCTACACCGTCTCTGGTTTTTCTGTTGCAGTCACGCCAAGAGCCCGAGCCTGGAGACCTGATCGAGATTTTTCGCAAAGTGTACGAGCACTGGGCCATCTATGTGGGCGGCGGTTACGTGGTCCACCTGGCTCCTCCAAGTAAGGACTATTGAAAATTCAATGTTCAAAATATTTGTTAATAAGACAGTGAGAACCACTGAAAGAGAGTTGAGCAAGGGACGCTGGAGTTGGGAGACACACTCTGCATGGAGAAAGCTCCAGGAGGTCGTATACATGAGTGTCCCCTGGGTCCCTGCATCCCAGAGCAGGAGAGGCCCTGACCCCACAGGGACGCTGGCTGCTGCGGCACTGGGGTCTGTCCCGCTCACAGCCAGTGCCCTGCCGTGCAGAGTCTGATAGGACTGTGCTTCTCAAGGTCTACGGTCCTAAAGAAGGCGTCTCATACAGAAGAATGTTGCTCCCCGCTGTGTCCTTTGTGTCACACGGTTGCACAGAACAAGGTGTCCTCACATCATGTGCTTTAGGTTCCTTAACAGAAGCAGTCCCCACAGGTTTACACATTTTTAAAAGCTGTCATACAAATGCACAGTGAGCACAAGTCAATGATTTATTTAATTAATGACAGAACCAGCAAGATGACAAAGCCAGTAGGAAGGAGATTGCAGGAAACAGGTGTGTGGATAGTCAGTGAAAGGGACGCTGGAACGGACTGACAGATTAGATGCCCACAGGTGTGTGTCCTCCAGAGCAATGCCACCGGTGTGTGTCCTCCAGAGCAATGCCACCGGTGTGTGTCCTCCAGAGCAATGCCACCGGTGTGTGTCCTCCAGAGCAATGCCACAGGTGTGTGTCCTCCAGAGCAATGCCACCGGAGCTTTTGATGTTCTCTTGTGGCTCAGCGTTTGCATGCACCTGGACAGAAATCATTTTCACCAGTATCAGAAAAATGCGTCTCCATCTTGGCAGTTTTCTACAGACTATCAGGTCCCTTGGCAGAGTTAAAAAAAAAAAGAAAAAAAAAAAGTCTGAACTGACCATAAATAGCAAACCAAGCCCACTTAATCCAGACAGCCCGTGACAGTGAGGACACCCGGTCCCCCTTGTGCCTAGCTCCCAAGGTGTGCACTGTTATCCTAAGACGACTTTCTTAAGAGGGAGCTAATTGCAAACATCACCCTTGAGATTAGAAATGGGAGGACCGGAGAAAACATACCTAACACTAGTGCTCACTCCCTACTGTGTCTTTTAGTAAAAATAAGGATACTCCCGCACTCGCAATGCAAGGAATTTGGACTGCTGGTTGTGAGCTCTTCTGAGCCCCTGTCCGTGTGCCTAGCACTGTGCCAGGTCAGGGGACAGAGGAATCTTCCGTGAAGGATTCCCGAGGGTTTGGCTCAGGGGCGGAAGGGCCTGCGGTTACGCTAGACTTCCACCGCTAGCATCACAGCACGGAGGCGTCTGCTGACGGCTCTCTGGCCCAACACTGCCTGTGACATGGGGAGCAGAACGTTTGCCTGGACAGTTACAAAGGAGATGAGATGAGGCGACACACGAAGGAGCACAGCGAAGTCGCTGAGACTCAGGGTGCGAAAGCGAATGGGATCTTTCTGGAACACGCAGGGGTGCAGAGTGGGACAAGGAACACACAGGCTTCACTGTCCTTGTTTATCAAGGAGAAAATTTCGAATACCTTTAAATGACTGACCATAGGGGATCGGCCAACACCCGATGTCCGCGCCTAGAGCGGAATGGTGGCAGCCGTTGCTACGCGTGACGCTCTCGGACTGGAACACTCACACCCGTGAAACAAGAGCAGATGGGCGACCCCTGCGAACGCGCGTGAAAGGTCCACACGACAGCTCCACTCGGCCTCCTCTCCTCCTGTCCTCGCCCCACCCACCCCCGTCAGCCCCGGTGACAGTGTCTCCCTTGCAGGCGAGTACGCCGGGACTGGCAGCTCCAGCTCCCTCTCGCTCCTGACCAGGAGGGCGGTGGTGAAGCTGGAGCGCCTGGAGCACGTGGTGGAGGGCTGTGACTACCGGGTCAACAACCAACTGGACCGCACGTACAGACCTCGGCCTGTGCGGGACATCATCAAGTCTGCGAGGGAGATGGTGGGCAAGGAAATGAAGTATAGTCTTGTGACAAACAACTGTGAGCACTTTGTCACCAATTTGAGATACGGCGAGGCCCGCTGCCTGCAGGTGAGGGGTCTCTGGAGGGTCCCTGGCCTGGGGGAGGGCTGCTCGGGGCACGGCCAGCGGGCTGTGCGGCCCGAGGGGGAATCTCTGTGAAGGTCGCGAGTGCAGCCTGTCCCAGCCCCGCTGGCTGGGAGCCCGCTCTCCCCTGCACACAGAGGGCGAGGACGAGGGACCTCCGGGGCCTTGGCCAGCTCTGCCGGGATCCTTCACCTCGAGACCCACCTGACGACAGTTCCTGCAGCCCTGGGCCATCAGGACAGCCTGGGCCAGCCAGGCCATGACAGGTCCCCTGCCCTGCTGAAGAGCTCTCAGGCAGGGACGCTGAGGGCCTCTGGGCCTCCGTGAGAGCTCAGGGTGTTTGTCCCTGAGGTCTGGGCACAGCCCCCACCCCGTGTCCGCTCACGGTCTTCCGGGTTTGTTGCCCCCAAACACACAGTGAATTAGTGACAGAACCAGATCAAATCCGCGCACACTGGCTCACGCCTGTGATCCAAGTACTCTGGGAGGCCAAGGCAGCAAAATGGCTTGAAGCCAGGAGTTCACCACCAGCCTGAGCAAGAGTGAGACTCTGCCTCTAGAAAAAGTAGAAAATCTTAGCTGGGCGTCGTGGTGCGCACCTGCAGTCCCAGCTACTCGGGAAGCTGATACAGGGGGTCGCTGGAGCCCAGGGGTTGGAGACTGCAGTGAGCTACGATGACACCACTACACTGTAGCCTAGGTGACAGAGCGAGACCCTGTCTCAAAAAAACACAACCCCACCATCCTTTCTAGAGTCTCTGCCTGTTAGGCGACCTGCAGCACCTGTGGCCCTGGCCTGCGCAGTGGCACGGCTGGGGGCCGGCAGTGGGGACAGGTCGCAGCAGGGAGGCGGGAGTCTGGTGAGTCTGTGATGTGTGAGGGTCCCTGGGGAGATGAGGAGCAGAGTTGGGGCTCAGGCTGAGGGGGGCTGGGATGGAGGTTCCCGCCTGCACCGGCGAGCAGGGCACAGAGACCCGAAGGGCTCTGCCTGTGGTCAGGGCCTCCCCATGTCCCCCACAGCTTCTGCCACGGCCCCACCACCCCGCGCAAGGATGTAGCTCAGCGAGAATCCAGACCCCATGCACACCCAGTCTGGACCCTGAGCTCTGACCCCAGGAACCCGGGCACAAACCCTCTTCCTGCCCACCCACCCAGGACGCTCTCTCAAAAGGACCCCATCAGCCCCTTGTCAGGACAAGCCCACCACTAAGAAGTAGTCACATCCCGGAAACGGGGTCCCTGGGGACACAGCCAGCAGTCCCCCTGGGAGAGGACTCAGGGCTGGCCCCTGGGAGGGACGAGGAGAAGAGGCCAGACCACAGGGGAGGGCAAGGGACAGAGGAGACAGAGAGGGGAGTTCCAGATCCGGGGATTGAGAAAGAGCCGGCCTGGGCGTGCTGTGACGTCTCAACAAGCGCTGCTTGCTTTGCAGGTGGAAAGAGCCAAGCAGGACTTGGAGGAAACAAGCAGTACTGTCTTCTTTGGAGCACTTGCTGTGGCTGGGTTCAGTGCTTTGACTAAGATAATCCTACACCTGTGACAGCCTGAAGCAGCCACAGAATCCATGTTAGCCGTGTAAGGCTGGTGGCTGGGTCCCCCTGCCCTGTTCCCCCATCCTCACGGCATTGCAAAGCCTGCAGACCTTGCACTACAGCTGCCCTAACTGCATCCCGCTAACGACAGAACATCTCGCCTGGCCCGGACCCCCTGTCAAGGCAAAGCAGGAAGAAGCCCCAGGTGCAAAACATCCTGCCTTGACCCCGGGAGACAGACAACAACAGCTAGCCCCCTATAAAAGCTAACTTGCAATCCTGGGCGGAGCGACTTTTGGGGCCCCTGCTCTGGGACCCTTGAACCTCGCCCGGGAGCGCTTTCAATAAATGCTGTGTTTGTTAGCATCTATTCGGCCTCATTACTCTTCTTCTGACACCACAAAACTTACAAGAAGCAGCTGTGAGGGTCCCCAGGAGAGGGACGAGACATCAGTCTCTGTGTCATCCTCTCTCTATTGCCTTTCCCCTCTCACTGTCCCCTCTCATGGGCTAAAGGATGGTCTCACTGTCACAAGACTCGAGAATCAATAAACGTGCCTACCTGTCGCTTCAGAAGGGACCTCTACAATGTTTTGTAGATTCTGAACCTGAGAGCAGGAAAGTCACATTGGTGGGACACGGGCCGGTAGTTCCAGCCATTTCTGGCTGTGTGACCTTGGAGGAAGCCCTTGACTCTCCGAGACTCGGTTCCCTCATCTGCAGGATGGGGTGACGACCCTCATCGGGTGACGTCAGAAGCCTCACATGTGACAGTGCACGTAGGACACCCGGCACCACGTCTGGAACACGGCAGGTGCCCAGCGCATCAACCCCATCACGTTACACAGATGTCACGTTGGCACAGCTGCGCATCGTCACTCTCCCTCTCGGGAGGTGAAAACCCTTAACTACCTCCCAGTGTGGTCACACCATGGGGTCCCCGCCTCCCCTGACAACACATCACACCTCCAACACTTTCCAGTCACCCTCCCGTTTCCCTCCTGTTTAGAAAGTTTTTCTCCTTAACTCAAAGGTCCGGTCAGCCCCGCTGTGACTGCCGGATGGAGCAACACTCTCTTTCCACGCCCAGCCGCCACGGCCCGCGCCGCCCCGAATCACACGCTGAGCATCAGCCGCCCTGGAGACCTCGCCATTCCCTGGGGCTTGCCCGGGGGAGGCCCCACAAGTGCCCAGGTCCCATGTCTTTGTGCTTCCTCACCCCGGCCGCTGCCACCAAGGACCCTCCTGAATGGCCACCGCATTTGACCGTTGTCTGGGGGTCAGCGCAGTCACCACCACGATGGCTGCAGGAGCGGGAACGTCACGGTCCCCTGTGTTTTCCCACACCTGGCAACTCCGATTGGTCCCTTGACTCCCCAGCACAGTAGAAACAAGACTTCCCTAGAAGCTCAGCGCTATCAGAAGACTGAAGAACAAAGAGAACCACTGTAACTGCCACAATCAGCAATTATAACTCATCACTGGCGCAGTCAGCAATTCTAAGTTTTAAGTGTTCAAATTCCCAGGCTGAAATGCCAAGCTCCACTGGGGGCAGCAGAGCGCCCCTGCCCGCCCTGCCAGGGCTGCCTGCGGGTCAGAAGGCCCCGCCGCCCCACCCGGAGTCCAGGCCCAATAGCCAGAAGCCCAGCGAGGGGAGGGGGCCGCCTCACTTCTGGCGACTCGGGCTCGCCTCGCCAGGCCTCGTTTCCTGTTCAGGATCAACTGATCCAGCATGATGGACACTGGGGCCACCGGGGCCCTTCCAGGGTGACCTTGACCCCCTAACCAGGGCAAATCCCTCTTGGGAGTCTCAGGGGTCCACCTACCTTCTCTTAGGGGTGATTTTCACAGTTGCAATTGAACACTGACCGGGGGGTTATTAATACTTTCCTATCATGTATCTTCTCAACAGAATTGCAGGGACAGTCCACTTTGGGTACCACTGGGACCCTGGTGTCTAGCACAGTGCCTACCTTACTGTAAACACTCAGTAGATAGTGGTTTCCTTAGTTAATAAAGTTATTAACTAATATATAGGAAAACATGACCAGTCTTTCCTCTGCTTGTGAAAAGGACTTTGATACAGAGAAGGGCTGTAGCCACCACTGTGAAGGGTAACACCCAGCAGGGGGTGGCTTTCTGCAACATTTAAAGAGACAGGGAACCAATTCCAGGCCCCTGCAGATTGACTTCCATGAACTAGATCCCACTAAAATGCAGGAAAAAAATAAGTGGGTAACAGAACTATCCTTTATTTTTTCATAATAAGCTCATAAAATGGTTGCACCACTTCTGGACAATCCTTGGTCTCGGCAAAACCTTGTGTTAGGATCACAGGTTGCTGAGCAGGTGTGCATGCTTTCCACAGGCTGTTTCTCAACCCAAGAAAAATTTAAGAGGAATGATTGGTGCTGGAGACTCAGGAATCCTGGGTCACGTGGGGTCAGGACTTCCTTATGACGTTGTCTGTCACTCTTGTAAGATGGCATCCCCCCCCCAAGAGCTGTGGGACAGCTGGCAGGACACAGGGAAGCCCCAGCACTGGCCTCCTGCACCGTGGACATTGGGGTGTCCCTGTGCGCCTCCACCAGGGTCCCCAGATGCTCTGAAGGAGGCTGGGACCTGGGACGACCGGGACGTAGAAGGAGGGGAGCGCTCAGTGCCACCAGCTGGATCCGTCTCTCCCCTTCCTCCTCTTTCCCTCTCTCGGTGGCTGAAAGTCTCCTTTTGGAGTAAGAGAAAATAAAGTTCACCTGAGGCATTGGTGGGGAGAGTCTGAGTTCCTGCCCGAATCCACCCGCACCTTTTGGAGTGGCCCTGCCCTCCTGCGCAGCCCCGGCCTCAGACGCTGCAGGAGCGGGGGCCGCGGTGAGTGCCACGTGGAGGGACGAGGACCAGGGACAGGAACGCAGGCTCTGCACAGCAGAATGTCACACGCAGCGTTCCTGCTGCCTCTCTTTTGGCCAAAGCGCCCAAACTGAAGGACAACAGCTGCGCAGCGTGCACACACGCTGAAGACGGAACCACCAGCCGCATCCTCACACTGCATAATCTCCGCAGCCCCTGGAAGCGGGACAGTTTTAATAACCTGTCAAGGCCGGCGCGCGGCTCACACCTGCAATCCCAGCAGATTGGGAGGCAGAGGCAGGAGGGTCATTGAGACGAGGAGTTCAAGATGAGCCTGGGCAGATGGTCCCTGGGCAGAAACCAGCGAGACTCTGTCTATACAAAAAGAAAAAGTGAATTTAGCCAAGCGTGGCGGCTAGAGCTGGACTCCTAGTACTCCAGAGGCTGAGGCTGGAAGATCGCTTGAACGGAGGAGTCAGAGGCCACAGCGAGCTATGACTGTGCCACTGCACTCCAGCCTGGGCGACACAGCAAGCCTTGTTCCTAAAATAACAATAATGTGTTGACAGAAAGGGAAACTAGGCTCACAATGTCTAACCCATTGACCCCAGGTCCCACAGACACTAAGCAGAGGCTCTGGATCCCCTGCGAGTCTATTTGACCCAAAAGTCAGTTCTGTAGCCCAGGCCCCTGGAGTGTTCTCATGTTATAGTCTAGATTCGCATGGCCACGGGACAGAGAGACAGAGTCACCGAGGCTGTAATTATTAAAAGGAGTTTTATTGTCTAGCTCAAGCTAGGGTCCGAGCCCCCAGAGTGCCAGTGCAGTGGCCTATTTTTTGGGCAGGGACCCCCCTTGTGTGCTAGTGAGCCTTTTATACCTAAGCTGTTTACACACTGATCATGCATCCGCCCCCACAGTGATTCTTACTTCATCCTGCCCCTGATAGGCTCCAACCTGTTCCGGGTCCTAGCTGAGAGACTCCGGTTTCCGAGTTCTTTGTCTTTCTCCTCTGCATCCCATAATGTACCCATAATGCCTTGCGGTTAGCAAGCAAGCAGTAAACAGAAGCTGGAAGGTGTCCGTTGTCCTAATAGCCCAGTATCTTACACTCAGATGAGCCCTCTTTGGGCACCAGCCACCCCCTGCCATGCTGAGACGGTTCCTCTGATGCCCCTGCAGGCTTTGTGAGGCCTTGGAGAGCCATCACAGGGTGCAAGATGGAGACCAGGGCAGAGGGCGAGGAGGACTGTGAAGGAACAGCGTGGCCAGGCACAGACGGAGCTGCTGCACAGCCTTGCCCAGGCCGGAAACCTGTGCTGCCAGGGCAGAGGGGGAGGGAGGGTGCAAGTGAGCAGGACAGCCACTTGCCAGGGTGACAGTAGTGCTCAGAGTACCTGGAGACTTTTGGCAGTCCCCCCACTGCAGAGAAGGGGCCATTATTCCATCCCCTGTGTATGGGTCACCTGGAGACCCACCAGGGTCACCACTGCATACTCTCATCAGTCCCTGCAGGCTTTGAGGACATGACCCCCTAATCCTAGTCCAGTGCTATCTCCCTACTCTGGTGCCAGAAATTTGCCATATTGAATTTGATCTTTGGGTTTTAGCATTTTGTGTGCCTTCCCACACATGTTGGCATTGAATCTCTTTTCAGCCATTGGTATTTTAGTAGACGTTAGTCGTGTCATGGCCTCAGCTCCCTGGTAGGACATGGCAGGATGGGCCTGGGAAGGTGAAGTCTCGGTGAGCGTGTGTGCGTGAGGGTGTGTGTAGGGCAGAACCGTGTCGCCGGGTGGGGGGGCTGAGGCAGGTGGTCAGGGTGAAGGAGTGAGGGAGGCAGCAGGCAGTCAGGAAAGAGGGAGGCCGAACTGACGGGTGGGGGGACCTGAAGACCAAGCCCAGCCACCGTTCCCATGGGAGCCCCTGCATGGTCCCCAGCAGCACTGGGTGACAGCGAGGACCTGGGAGCTCTGGGAAGGCAAAGGAGGCAGGGGCGCCGTGCCCGCCTCACGGAGGGGCCGGCCCACAGTGGAGACAAGAGGCCAGGGTCGTGGGGAGCCCCTCACCTTTCCTCGTGGCCCGCCCCTCAGGGCTGGCGCTGGCACCAGCAAACTGTGCACCCTCCCCGTTTGCTTTGCTCCCTGGGCGGCTCCCGCAGGTTTCTCTCCCTGGACTGTTCCAGAACAGAGCATGCTCAGTCCCTGCACACAGCCACCTGGTTAGGGTGTGAAGTCCCTACGTGGGCGACAGACAATTCTCAGAGTTTAGGATAGAAGGAAAGACCATGTTTATTTTACTCTTTCTGGGAAGAGCAAGAGGACACAGCACTGAAATAACGAGAGGCGCTGGCCCTGAGGCCAAAGATCCTTCACTCCTCACCAGGGCAGCTGGGGGGGGAGGGGAGACCTGTGACCAGCCCCATTGGGAGAGGGCAGCTGGCAAACTGCTGAGTTCCTCCTTTGCCTTCTCTCACATGGCAGGTGGATCTCGGGAATCGGTTTCTTCTTTCTTCTTGCTGGCGGGAGACAGCTGGGCCGTGTCTCCTTGAAGAGGCGGGGGAGCTCTTGCCTGGGCTGTCCCCCAGCACTCACCAAGGCTGTCTAAGCAAACTCAGAGAAACTTCTTGTCTCTAGGTAGTGACTCTAAAGTGACAGTGGCTCAGACTGTTTCCCCTTTCCTCCTGCCTCCCCTGCAGTGGGCTTTCCCCTTCGGAATGGGAACTGAGCAGCTCTGGGGAATGTTAGGCAGGATTTCCTCTTTCCTGTGTTATTTTCATCGCTAGGGAAACATCTCTGGAGGACAGACATTCATGTTACTAATCTTAGAACAGAGTTCATACCACTCTAAGAGCCTGCCAGTTAGAAATTTATTTTTGTCTTGTTAGCCAGTTAGTAAAACTATCCTTTCACCCTGGTGCCCGAAAAACAAAAGGGATAGAGGCTCAGCTCAGGCCCCCCAAGCTCCCCAGCTCTGGCAGCTTTCCAGTCAGGAAAACACACCTCAGGGGCAGTCACCTGGCGCTGTATCTGCAAGAAGTGGCTGCCATAAACACTTGTCACTTCCACTCACCAGATATCTTCCTAATTAGCATACTGATTTTCTTTCCAAAACTTATAACTGGAGGTTAGAAATGATCTCTCACAGGTGAAACTAATGCCATTCTTGACATGTGAATGGGCTGAAATGTGGAGCCCCTCCCCACCCCTGCCCGGACAGAGTATGAGAAAGCGGCCTGGAGCCTGTGTCGTCACGGATGTAGCCTGAGTGTCCCTGGCATGGCCAGCCTCTGGGATGGATTTCTGCTTGCCTGATGCTGACAGTCGAACAATGAAAGCCGGACTTTAGCGAACCTCTGAGGCAAGGTTTGGTGGAGGATTGCGTCCTCATTCAGCTTTCAGAACAGGATGGATGAGTAACTCTGTGCCAGCTCGGTAAACTCATGCTTCACACATATCTCAGTGTGTGATGGAATCGGCTCTGAGATTTGCTTTCAATATAATCTGAGGGTAGGTTTGGCGGAACCGCTAAAGTGAATTCATTCTAACTTGTCAGTGGTTATGTTTATTTGCCAAACAGAAACTCAGGAGCTGGGTATGACCCTGCCATAGCTCAACTTGCCACAGTGGGTGACAGGCTCTGGGGCACAGAAACGGTGTTGTAACCACAGTGGGCCCCTCACAAGTACTGGCCTTCTTCCTCTTCATACCATGGGCCCTCAGCACAGACAAGGGGGTCTGGCCAGGAGAGGGGAGGGCTGGAAGGGACAGAGCACTCTTGCTTCTCTCCTACCACCCCGATGCCTTCCAATGAAATGGGCACTTGAGAAATGAAAAAATAAATAAAGGTTTGGCTTCAAACATTTTATTTTACAAACAGTAGTGGTAGATTGGAAAATCAGATCTAATGCGATATGTGAGCTCCAGCCTCTAATTCCAGTCAATGAATCTGCCCTTGGACAAGCTCCAGGCTCCTCACAGCTCTTCAGGGTCCAAAGGATGGAGCTAGCTTCACCCCTGTCCCCTCCTGGGCTGACCCTGTCCCAGGGGTGTCAATCACGGAGCTGGGCACATCCATTATGCCCTACAAGTGGAACTGCCTCTGCAGGCATGTTGAAATCACGTGACCAGGACCCCATCAGGCAGAGCTGATTGGCCTGGTGGGATCATGTGACCCCAGAGCAGCCAATCGTTAGGCAGAGCTCTGTGTGAGCTAAGCCAATCAGATTTTCTCCTGTGCACTTGAGCAGAGAGTGTAGCTCCAGGCCCTCGGTGGGCTTGATGGTGGCGGGAAGAGAAGAGCAGATGACTATGTGAGCTCAGAGACCCGGGGTTCCAGCAAGCAGAAGTGGTGAGGAGGCAGGGGTGCTGGCGGGTGGAAGTGACATGGCAGAGGAGACGTGGAGAGCAGAGGGAAAGAATGATACTCATTGTTACTGGCATCAAGGGGAGCAGGGAGTGGCAAAAGGAACCGGGAGCCCTGGTGACGTTCACGGCCGAGACCGTCCACATGATTTCAGCCGCAAGGCGCTAGCAGACCGATGGCTCCGGTCCAGGTCTGATGGACGCCCCTCTGCCCTTCCTGTATCCTCACACCGTAAAGCAACATGGCCCTCCAGGAGAAAACGGAGAGGCACAGTCAACAGCCGGACAGAAGTCCGTGTCCCTGGGAGGAGCCTGTGTGAGTCAGCTCCACGACAAGCCTAGCCGGGACGGCCCAAACAACAGGCCTTAATTTCTGGCACTTCCAGAGGCTGGGAAGTCCAAGATCAAAGTGGGGACAGATTAGCTGTCTGGTGAGGTCACTCTTCCTGCCTGACAGCTGGCCTCTTCTCACTACGTCCTCACATGGTGCAGGGAGAGAGCTCTGGTCTCTCTTCCTCTTCCTATCTGGACACTAATCCCATCATAGGAGCCCTAATCTCACAACCTCATCTGAACCTAGTTACCTCCCAGTGGCCCCACCTCCAAGAACCATCACACAGGTGGGTTAAGCTTCAACTTATGAGTTTGGGGTGGAGAGGACACAAACATTCAGTCCATAGCAGAACCCAATCATGTCTTTAATAGAAGTCACTCCAAGATACATTTATCCCAAATAAAATCTTCTATGCTGTTATTTGACTCCACTGAAATAAGCATTCCTGATCACAAAATCGGTAAGCCAACCCCCATTCCCCCTGGCTAAGCAACACCCATCCTCACTAACTGCCATCAGGCCAGTTCCTTGGATTATTCTTTTTCCTGCTTGCTTTTGGGCACCAGCGCCCACGTGACGCCTGCGACAGCCAGGATTCCCAGGACACCTACTGTCACACCTGCTGTCATGACCGCATCAGTGACCTGCAGCAGAAGACAAGGAGGGTCACACTCAACATCAGGGGTTGGAGCAGAGACAGAGACATACACCAGGAACCTGCAGCTCAGGACAGACCCACGTGGCCCTGTCCACTCCAGCCTCCTTCACGGAGGGACGGGATCCCAGGTCAGGCCAGCGAGGAAAGAGAAGAGGAGGTGCCTGTTAAGAAAAGACCGAAAGAACAGAGCCACAGGTGTGAAATACGGTGACTCACCTGGAGGGAAACTAGATACATCCTGTGGGTATTTAAAGCAAAACAAAGCCCCACGGGGTGGCTGTGGAAAGCACAGAGGGGCAGTGCCAGGATGTGCTAGCTCAGGGCTGGCCACTGGGAGCCTCGAAGCAGATGTAAAGTTGGGGAGATGGCCCCCGGGAACTCTCACTGCCCAGGGCTCCAGGGCTTGGACCTCATCTGGATTGTTCTCAGTGTCCCGGGTGCTCAGCCACTGCCGGGCACAGAGCAGGCGCTCGTGAGTACCTGCGGACCGAGTGCCTGGCCGTGCGCTGATGGGATAGAGGTTCCTCAAAAGGAAGCGGATACTCCGAAAAAGCGGTAGAGCTGCGAGGCTGACCCCTGAGGGTTGGCGTACTCGGCAGAGCTGGTGTGAGCCCCCCGAGACGACCCACTGTGATCCCGTGGGCCCAGCCCTGCCTGCGCCACTGTGTTTGAGAGACCAGGGGAGGAGGGACTGGAGGCGGAGGACGGCTGCCTCCCGGGTGTCAGCACTGTGCTTCCTCCGCCTGGCAACCCTGGGAGTAGGCACTGTCATTCCCGCTGTCCAGAGAAGACTGAGGATGGACAGTGTGGAGAACTCACACAAAGCCACACAGGAGGCTTGTAGCCTCAGATCTGCCTGACTTCCAGTAGATGCGCCGAAGCCCTTCACAGCCAGGGAAGCAAATATTTAAAACAGGGACGAAAGAGCAGATTTCTGTGGAGTATCAGTGAACTTGAACCATGGGAGTGGCAGCGGAAGAGAAGGAAAAAAACACACTGTTTTATTCAAAGACACTCAGAACTGTTTCCAGAGTCAAAAATAAACAGAGCATGACATTAGTTAAGGGTGAAAACAGATGACACTGGGGGACAGAGCTGAGCTCCATTCTGATTCGTGCGGAGGTGACTGAGCGTTTTAAGGGAGATGAGAGGGTAGGGAGGGGTGAGTGGGGCTCAGTAGAGTCAGGGAGGTGAACAATGACAGAGGGCTGGTCAGTGTCCATGTGACAAGGCCAGCTGTGTCTGCTAGCTGGCAACTGTCAGAGTTAGGACTCTGCCCTCACAGAGACTAGAGGCCCTTCCTTCCTGCTGATGGCATTTCAAGGCTTCAGGTCCTTGAGAAAGATGCTTCTGGGTTATAAGAGATATATAACCCGCCCTTTATTTCCATGAATTTATTTTTTCTTTTTTCTTTTTTTTTTTTTTTTGAGACAGAGTCTCAATCTGTTGCCCCGGCCAGAGTGCCGTGGCGTCAGCCTAGCTCACAGCAACCTCAAACTCTTGGGCTCAAGCGATCCTTCTGCCTCAGCCTCCCGAGTAGCTGGGACTACAGGCATGCACCACCATGCCTGGCTAACTTTTTCTATATATATTTTTTAGTTGGTCAATTAATGTCTTTCTATTTTTAGTAGACACGGGGTCTCGCTCTTGCTCAGGCTGGTCTTGAACTCCTGAGCTCAAGTGATCCTCCCACCTCGACCTCCCAGAGTGCTAGAATTACAGGTGTGAGCCATTGCACCTGGTTGATTTCCATGGATTTCACATACATGGATTCAACCAACCATGGATCAAAAATATTCAGAAAAAAAAATAGAACAATACAACAATACAAAACACAAATTTGAAAAATATTGCATGACACCTGTTTGCATAGTATTTACTTCGTACTGGGTATTATAAGTCATCGAGAAATAATTTATAGTGTCCAGGAGGCTGTGCACAGGTTACATGCAAATACAGGGGAGTGGTTCATAATTCTAATACCTTTTTAGTAAATACTCTAAGAAAAGGAGGCCAGGGCTGTATGTTAGGTGTTGGATAGAACATATAGTAAATTCTCCTGGCAGCGTAGAGATTTCTCAGCAAGCATTTCATGGGCAGCTGGGGTCATCCCAGGGACACAGCCTTTTGTTCCTAAAAGCTGCACTAGAGTTTGGCCACCTGTTGGTGCAGGCAGTGTGGATGGAGTCTTTGTGTGCAGAGAGTTCTGCGGTCCTCACAAGCCCACTTTCTTACAGAGAGAGAGACAGAGCTACAGACAGACGGGGGGAGGGTCTTTCTAGAGAGACAGAGTCAGAAGGGAAGGAAGGAGCTAGAGGGAGAAAGGAAAGCAACTTAATGGGTTACCTGCAGGAGACAAGGTGCAAGACGAAAGGCTCCAGGGCAAGGGACAAACTAATAGAAGCCTCTTCCCTGCTCGCTTGAGTTCTGACCCCTCAGAAGCACAGCAGAAGCCAACCAGCCCCTAACATTGGGGTCTCCCAGATTGGTCCTTGTGGCTTCCGGATGGCCTTTAGAAGTGCTCTTAGATGCATGATAAGGCAGCCCACTCCACCCTCTGCCTGACTGCCCTCAAAGGAGGAGACACTCAGGCCGGGTGCTGTGGCTCACACCTGTAATCTTAGCTTTCTGGGAGGCCGAGGAGGGAGGATCGCTCAAGGTCGAAACCAGCCTGAGCAAGAGCAAGACCCCGTCTCTACTAAAAATAGAAAGAAATTAATTGGACAACTAAAAATATATAGGAAAAATTAGCCGGGCATGGTGGCGAATGCCTGTAGTCCCAGCTACTCAGGAGGCTGAGGCAGGAGGATCACCTGAGCCCAGGAGTTTGAGGTTACTGTGAGCTAGGCTGACGCCATGGCACTCTAGCCCCGGCAACAGAATGAGACTCTATCTCAAAAAAAAAAAAAAAAAAAAAAGGAGGGGAGACTCCATCACCAGGACCCCTACTGGGCACCACAGAGCACTTCCTGGCAGTGCGGGCAGGTTCCCTGGCTCCATCCTTGGGCGTTCTCAATTCCAGAAGGTGTGGATCCTGCTTGCCCACCTCCCCTTCTCACCACCTCCCCTTCTCCTGTCTAACAACAGAAGAGTTGAATCCTCCCCACCCTGAATCTCTGGTGCATAAGCTAACGTCTACGCGCCTCTGGACACCGGTAAGAAAGGATTTGAGAGTGCCTTGCTCCTAACGGTGCAAAATACGCATGCAACCATGTTGAGGGAGGCTCCCTGCCTGATCTGTCTACTATTTTAGAACGAACGTTCTAAAATGGTACACAGATATTTGAATTAAAAAATTGTCAGTGTTTTCCTGAAAGTCAAAATTAAGTCTGATTTGACTGATTGGTTTGACAAAAACACCTGGCTTGGCTATTTACATTACATGGAAGACATTTTTCATTAACAGAATGAATTAAATGTGCAGTTCCCAAATTGTGAATAAAATATGTACATAAATCACATATGCAGTATGCGATATACCAAAAATTCCATCCTTTGAACATTTTTTACATTTATGATTTTTTAAAATGTTTGATGTCACCTAAAAATATATGAGGGGGTATGTGGTTTCTCAAGCTTGTTTTTTTAAAAAAGGCAAACTATGCTTCTTGGGTCAAATCCAGCCTGCAACCTATCTTTGTAAAAAATGAATAAATAAATTTAAAATAAACTTGTATTTAAACACAGCTCTGCCTGTTTGCTTACATGCAGTCTGTGCTCTCATGCTACAAAGTTCCAGCCGAAGAGTTACAAGGGAGAGACCACCTGGCCCACAAAATCTAAAATATTTACTATGTGGCCTTTTTCAGAGCAAATTTGCCCAGCATGGCCCAGGCTTTTCCCCCTCCTGGCTCCCGGTTCCCTCTGCCTGTACTTCCCATCGTCCGATTCCCTGGTCATCTCCAGCTCATGTTCTACTTTCAGATTAATCAAAATAGTAAAACAAGGCTCAGCTCAGGTGTGAACCTCCCTTGAACAGATCGCCCCAGGGTCAACTCCCACCTCAGCACGGTGGCTGATGTGAACTAGACACTCAATGCCTACCATGTTTCCCCAAAAATAAGACAGGGTCTTATATTTATTTTTCCTCAAGAAGACCCCCTAGGGCTTATTTTGAGGGGATGTGTTATTTTTATTAAGTACAGTACAACAATCTACATTTATTCAAATATAGTTAAGTCGTCTTCTTCTGGAACATCATCCTAACTCTCCACATCCCGAATGTCATCCTGAGTTTCTTGCAACTCTATTTCCTTTAGAACCGTTGGCCTCAATCTCTCATGTGGAGCAATAGAGCTCTCATGAGGCAGATGAGAAGGGCTGCTTGTCTTCTTTACCCTTCCAGGAGGAAATGCATGGGTTGTGCATGGCCACGCCCATCACTAGGTCTTATTTTCAGGGGTGGGGCTTATATTTCACAAATGCTTAGAAATCCTGCTAGGGCTTATTTTATGGGTAGGTCTTATTTTCAGGGAAACATGGTAGCAGCTGAATGAGTTTGAACAAGTTACTTAAGCTCTGTGAGCCTCAGTTTCCCTATGTGTAAGGTGGGGATCATAAAATCTACCTCTAGGGCTGTCAGGGGCCACCTCGGGGCGGGGGCCAGGGAGGGCTCGGCAGCAGGGCGACCCTCAGGGCCGAGGCCCCTCCGTTGGCCACCGCCCCGACTGCGCGGATCTGCGCTGCCCACCTGCTGTCTGTCCCCCGCCCTCGTCCCACCCCCACGGCAGCGTCCTCCAGGCAGGAATTCTGTCTCTGCTTTTTTGCCTGTTCCTGCCTCTGTCTCCACCCACACTGATGCCCAGCCGCAGTCGGCTGAGGGGACTGTGGGTTCCTGGGGAAGGGCCCCCGGCTGAGCACGCACCTGGTCGCTGCGGGACACCCCGTAGCGCAGCTCGTTCACAAAGTGCTCGCAGTTATCTCCGGTCAGCGAATAGCGCAACTCCTTCCCCACCGCCTCTTCCGCCCGCCGGACGATTTTGTTGGAAGGCAGTGGCGGATACTTGTCATCGTGTTTGTTATTCACCCGGTACCTGTCTCCCCCGGCCACCACGGACAGCAGTTCCTTCTTCACTTTGGCTTTGTCGGCCAGGGCGGACAGGACACTGGCCGCACCAACTCCAGCAATTTCACCTGTGGGAAGAGGGAGTTCCGTCCTGGGCAGGGCCACCGAGGCCCAGAGCTGGCCCGGGCCGGCAGCCTCACTGCCCTTGGCACCACCAAGAAGGATGAGCGGCGGGAGGACCTGCGCGTCCCGCCTGGCCTCAGGCTCGAACACGGGTCAGACCTAAGCCTGGAGGAGGAGTTACCCGGGGTCCCTGGGCTCTGGTTTCCTCGTTTCTAAAGTAAAGAACCTGAGCTCTAAAGCAGCCTGTCCCCAACCTTTTTGGCACCAGGGACCATTTTCATGGAAGACAATTTTTCCATGGACGGGGAGGGGCAGAAGGGATGGTTTGGGGATGATTCAAGTGCATTACATTTATTGTCCAGTTTATTTCTTTATGATCACATTGTAATATATAATGAAATAATTACACAACTCACCCTGGGATGGGGACCCCTGCTCTAAAGGACCAGGTGAGTACAGGTGTTCCTGAAAGAGTCGAGGTGGAGGCAGAGTGTGCTGGGCAAAGAGAGGAGGCAGAAGGTCCCCAGGTCCTAGTCCCAGCTGCCCCTCACCGGCTCGTGGCTTAGGAAAAGCCACTCAACCTCCCTGAGCCAGCACTGTGGGAGCCTCGGGGGCTAGGCTGGTTTTTTGGAACAGTAGGAAAGGAACCAGCCAGACAAAAGCCTGACCCCGGATTCCAGGGCCCAGGTCCTGGCCTCACTCAGGCAAGTCCCTTCTCCTCTTGGGGCCCCGGTCTTCTCATTTCTTGCTCCTCCCGCTGCAGGAGCAAGAACGGGGCAGGAGAAACACGGGAGAGTCGGCGCCCAGGCTCGCCGGGCTACAGATCCCAAAGAAGGGAGGCTGGAGGAAACAGGATTCACATCAGCATAAAACCATGTCACCAGGAATTTATTCTCTTCCGTGAGGAAAAGACATTGTCCCTCCACCTCTCCCCCTCCATCCCCAAACCAATGTCTCTCCTTCTGGACTTCTAGTCTTCCTGTCTCTGCCCCATCCCCCAGCCGTTCTCCCCATCTCTTTTCCTCTCACTCTCCCATCTCTGCCCCTCGGTCTCCCAGCTCGGGGACGGTTTCCTCCTGTCCCCCAGTAGAAGGTGCCCTTTCCTATATTGCTGGTGACGTACTTTGGACAACAGTTCGGCAGTTTCTTATTAAATTAAATATTCACTTACCATGTAGCCCCACAATCCCACTCCTAGGCATTTACCAAAAAGAAATGAAAATCTATGTTCACGTGTACAAAAAAAAAAATACCCTGTATGGGAATATTTACAGTAGATCTAATCATTATTGTTAAAAAGTGAAAATCACCCACAATGTCCTTCAGCTGGTGAATGGATAAACAGATGGTGGCACACCCATGCAATGGAATACTATTCAGCAACTAAAAGGAACAAAGTACTGACACATGCTACAACAAAAATGACCCTCAAAGGCATTGTGCTAAGTTAAGGCAACTAGGCACAAAAGACTACATTCTGTAGGGTTCCATTTGTATGACATTATCTAAAAGACAAATCTGTAGAGTCAGAAGAAAGATCGTAGGTTGCCAAGAGCCGGAGGTGTCAGTGGTGTGAGGAAGTTGACATCAAAGGAGCATAGGGGAACTTTAGGGGATGAGGTGTAGGGGCCCCTGGTTCCCCTACTTTTTTTTTCTTTGTCCTAAGAAACACAGAATGCCTCGACCACTGTGTGAGCTAGCCGGCTGCATGTTTTCCCCTGCAGGTGTGACACCACAGGAGCCTTGAACATTCCCAGGCTCTGATAAAGTTGTTTAGGTTGTTGCATGAAACGCTGAAAGATCAACATGTTGCTAAACATGTAAAAACTAGCCCTGGGTTGCTTTAGTACCGCAACAGGAAAGGAAAGGAAAAAGGAAGAGAAGGCGAGGGGAGAGGAGAGGAAGGGGAGAAAGAAACTAGCCCCAGCCCTGAACCAAATTGCTTAGACCCTCATATAAACTTCATAACCCACCCTGCTCATTGCAGACATGCCTGTGTAGAACGTCTTCTCTCCTGTTGTCCATCAAGAAGACACTCCCACCCTCTGTATTTAAGTCCCCTAATAAATGCTCTGGACAGGTCAGCTTGGCATGTAGTATTGCTTTCTTTGGAATCCTAACTAGCCCCATCTCAGGATGGTTTGGGGGCATAAGCTATCCTCATGTCAACACGACCTCACAGCTTCCTAGCCAATCAGGTACACACAGGTAAGCTCATGCAGCACGACTACCTGAAGAACATGTCATCTCTAGTGGCCAATGACAACAGAGAACAACATACTTTCTCATTCATGCTGCATAAACTGAGCCATAACTGCTTGAGCCAAGCTTCTTGACATTTTCAGTTTGAAGCCCCCTGGTTTGTGAACTCTTCTTTCACATGCACGACAAAGCTTTTAAATTTCTCTGACTTGATATAATTTTATTTTTAACAGTTTCTGGTGTCAGAAGTGAGATCTGAAGACAACTCCCTAACCCTTTTGTTGATGGACTACACACAGAAATAAGTGATTTACTGAAGAAACATAAATTGGAATTGGAGGTAACTCCCCTTACAAAACTAAATCACCTAAGGGAATATTTTGAAAAAACATTAGAACAAAAGAGGAACAATCAGACTAATAAAATACTGGCCACTGCAGTCCAACCTGGGAGACACAGTGAGACTCTATTTCAAACAGAATTTTAAGTGGCCTCAGGAACAGTTCCCCCACCATCAGGACCATTTGAACTCTTGCAGATGGCCTTCCTTCCGTTACTCACCTGTAGGTACCGTCAACACATGCTTGGAATAGTATGTATGTCTTCTAAATGGACAGATGATTTTCTGGGCTGAAAGGCTAATTCAATTACTGTAGCCAAAAAGTTGTTGGAAAACTTTTTTTTAATTTGGAGAATCCCACTGAAATGTCAGGTGATAGATTCTTTTAATTGACAAGTTATAAAATAATTAAACAAGATTATGCAAACATTTGGAGAGTACCACTGTCCCTCTTATCCTCAGTTTTCAGGAAAAGTTGAATGTATCAGTAGCATTTTAAAATTGAAATTGGTGGCTCACACCTGTAATCCTAGCACTCTGGGAGGCCGAGGCGGGCACATTGCTCAAGGTCAGGAGTTTGAAACCAACCTGAGCAAGAGCAAGAGCCCTGTCTCTACTATAAATAGAAAGAAATTAATTGGCCAACTAATATATATATTAAAAAAAATAGCCGGGTCTGGTGGTGCATGCCTGTAGTCTCAGCTACTCGGGAGGCTGAGGCAGTAAGATTTCTTGAGCCCAGGAGTTTGAGGTTGCTGTGAGCTAGGCTGATGCCACAGCACTCACTCTAGCATGGGCAACAAAAGCGAGACTCTGTCTCAAAAAAATAAAATGAAATGAAATAAATTTGAAATTGGCAAAATTAACTAAAACTATGGGATTACTTTGGCCTAAGACCAGAGACCTCAGCAATCACAAGGGTTGGTCCCGCCCATCAGGAGCAGCCCTCCAGGCTTGGAGCAACAGCCATGAAATCCTTGTCAGCGGCTCCCTCTAGTCGCAGGATAAGCAACCACAGAAGCCTACACCCAGGCTTCTGCTCTCCAGCTGCCATCTATCTAGTTCCTAACCACACCTGGTGGGGGAACAGGGTCCAAGCAACACCTGGGAGCTACAATACCCCTCCCAAAGCTCTAGGCATTCATATACCCCACCTAGGAAACCAGAGCCTACCACAAGGACAGCAGATTGCCTCAGTAACTGAATCCTCTGTGCAAACTATAATCAATGACAGATGCTACATCCCCATAGCTAAACATAGTGCCTTCCATCTCAAGCTATTAGTGAGCAGTAGATTCATATTCACAAGTACAATCCACCAGCTTGGAGCTTAAGCTGGGGGACCAAACTCACTACAGTCCACTGGGAAGAGGTGAAGACATCAGGTCAGAGGTAGCCCAACAGATTCACCAAACTTGCTAAAACATCCCTAAGGCAATACAGGACCAGTGCTCCTCTCCCTGGCACTGTCACTGAACGACCCTTAGGGACGTGGAGACAGGGCCATAAATCAGCCTTAGCACCCCCAGTTCTCCACCAAGAAGCCAGATAAGAAAGAATCAGTGAAAGTACTCAGGACATATGAAAAATCAGAGTGAAAAGTCACACCCCAAAAGAAATAATTAGCTCTTCAGCAATGGAAACCAACTTAAATAAAATGGTTAAAATGAAAGATGAAGAATTTTGACTATGGGTTGTAAGAAAGCTCAATGGAATTCAAGAGAAAATAGAAACCCAAAACAAAGAAGCCACAAGAATAATGCAGGAAATGAATGAAAAATTCTCTAAAGAAATTGAAGTATTACAAAGAACCAAACAGAAATACTGGAAATGAAAGAGGCATTCAAAGAAATATAAAATACAGTGGAAAGCCTTAAGAATAGGCTGTATCACACAGAGGAAAGAATCTCAGAGCTTGAAGATAACGCCTATGTGCTAAACAAATCTGATGAAAAAAAAGAACACAGAAGCAAGAGACAGGAACAAGAAATGTTACATATCTTGCTTGTATGCTTGTATGTATACAATCAAGAAATGTATACAAGAAATGTGGGATTATGTAAAGAGACCAAATATAAGAATCATAGAGATCTCTGAGTGTGAAGAAGAAAATACACAAGGGCTGGAAAATCTATTTCTAGGAATAATGGAGGAAAACATACCTGGCCTAACCAGAAATCTAGATAGCAAGGTATGAGAAGCACACAGGACTCCTGGGAGACTGAATGAGAAAAGGCAATCACCACGTCACATAGTTATTAGGCTGGCCAAAGTAAACATGAAAGAGGTACTCCTTTGAGCAGTAAGGCAAAAACAGCAGGTAACCTACAAAGGAAAACCTATCAGACTAACTGCAAACTTCTCAACTGAAACTTTACATGCAAGAAAGAATTGGGGGCCCATCCTCAGTCTTCTAAAACAGAATAATGGCCAACCTAGAATTCTTTTTTCTGAGACAGTCTC